CTCGCGTGCGGCGGCTGCGCGGGGAAGCCGCGCTCTCCGTCTCCTCTGTGCTCGAAGACTCGGTCGCATCCCGGGTCTAGGAAAGGGGACCTCGGCTTGAGGCCGGCGTGGGCGTAAACCCACACTCTTCCCCGGGTTTCCCTCCGTGAAAAGGAAGATGACAGCACCTTGCAGAGCATCGTGCTGGTGCTGGTGCTGGTGCTGGTGCTCGTCCTCGTCCTCATCATCGTCGTCATCCCGTCGTGGCCCGCCCCCGCTCGCCGGCCTGGTCCCCCCAGTCCCCTCTGCTGAACGCTGGGAGCCTGGTGACCTGTTTACCCTTCCCGCTCACTGTGACTCCGCCTGACCCTCTACCCAGACCTCTCCCCCTCCACACCCGTCTCTCCAGCTGTGCGTTTGACACCCAGGCGCCTAAACGGTCATCTCAGATTTAACACATTTGGGACCTTAAGACCCTGAGAACCTGCTCCATCCTCTGGTCCTTGCGTCTTGCAAACGGCAGCTCCCGTGGCCCAGACCAGAAACCTCGCCATGATTCTTGACTTTTCCCTTCTCCCACGTCTCGCAGACCCGTGGGCGGCCAGGCAGTTCCACTGTCTGATTGGGGTCCAGACCCGGCATCCCCTCCGGTGCCCCTGCTGAGCCCAGGGGCCTCCTGACGCGTCTGCTCTGTCTGCTCCCTGCGGGCTGCTGCTGCCTGTTGCGTCGGCACCGCAGCAAGGCGACCTCTGCGGGACCAGGTCAGAGCACAGCACGGTCCTCCCATTCGGGCAGAGACCACCGCGGCCTGAAGTAGCCCGCGAGCCCTTTTGCGATCGGGCCTGGCCGCTGCGCTTTTGGGACCTCATCCCAGCACCCTGCCCCTCGGCCCCAGGAACAGCAGAGCTTGCTGTCCCTGTCATGGGCCAGCCTTCTCACCTCAGGGCCGCCTCTCATATCGTTCCCTCTGCCCGGACGCTGTGCTCCAGGATGGCAGCCCCTCACTTCCCTTAGTTCTCCGCTCAGAGCACCCTGGGACAGAAAGCGGCCTTCCCACCGCCTCTCCTGCGCCCCCCGCTCGCTGCTCTGAGCACAGGTCTGGATCTGGCGGCCGTGGGTGCTGGGGGGTGCTCATCGATTAGCCCCCCACCCCCACTGAGACTTGTGTACTGCCACGCTCCGCGCGCCCGGCAGCCACTTGCGGAATAGACGAGTCATTCCCAGACAGCGGTGCGCGCTCTGGCTGGCGCGGTCCTTGTCCAGGCTTCCTGTCCTCGCGCTCTGCCTGGGGGCTCCGCTGAGCTGTGCCCCTCCAGGATGGCCCTGCCACGGCCCTACCAGTTACACATCTCTGAGTCCCTGTTCCAGCGCCAGTGGGTGCCACGCCAACTGCACCAGTCTACGGGAGACCCAGGTCACTCAGCACTGTCCACATTTGTGCAGGCTCACTGCTGTCTCTCCTGCAGATGCCACCATGGTGTGGGGGTTCCTGTGGTGCAGAGGGTCCGGGCGCACTGTCGGAAGGCACGCGGGCCTGCGGTGAGGCCACCGCTGCTGGCAGTGCCCGGGCAGTGCCTGCTGGGAGGGCCAGCTCTGGTTGTCTTTTTGCTGGATAAGGCGAGACAGTTGGTTCTCATTCCTTTGAATTGAGGTGTCTGTCTCAAAGTGAACTTTAGTTAATGAATAGCTGGATGATTTCAAAAGGTAAAAGTAATATGTACAGAAGAGAAGGCGTCACTGAAAAAGATCCCGGGCTCCAGAATTGAGAGGTGATTCGTTTGTCTTTCGTGAATTTTTCTGTTACTGTTTCTTAACACGTGCTTTTAGATATCAGAAATTTGGATTTGTCAAAAAACCTGCTGTCGTTATGGGACGACGTCACAGATATCGCTGATCAGCTCGGACACCTAGAGGTCCTTAATCTCAGGTAGGAACTCGGGCGCCTGATCGTCACGTGACCTAAAACTCCTGCGCTCTCCTCGCCCGTCCTGGCACCTGCGTGGGAATGAGGTGGGCGGGACGGCTCAGTCAGATTTATCTAAGCTTAATTTATTCTTTCACGTTCTTTGATTAACATACTTGTTCAAATGGTCACATGAGGTGATTCATTAATGGGGAACGTGTTTTACTTTTGATTGAGTGGAGCGTGGAGTAGGTCGACCTCCTGAACTGAGTGAGAGGCGATGCTTCTGGAGCCTGACTGTAAAATCGGAAGATGGCCCAGCGGGGGGTGGTGGTGGTTAAGAGTAAGAGAGATGATGTTAGAAGCGCTTGTTCATTCTGAAGCTTCTAGCATTCAACTGCGTTAGGGATGAGTAATTTCATTGGAATCCTCTGTAATTCAGGTCTGATTAGGATTTTTTGCTAATCTACATATTTTACTAATTTTCCAGGCCTTCTCAAATATTTGATTAGTTTTAATCTCAGAACCTAACTTTCCAAGAGCTTTCAAACTTGAGCCAGTTTTACGGACACAGGTGAGCTGTACCTGGCTCAGGCAGGTTCCGCGTAGCAGGTAGTCAGGCCTTAGTTAGCTGTGCTCCCACAGAGAGCAAAGGCTGTAATTTGATCCAGTGTCCCCTCTTGGGTGGGGGGTGGGAAAGCTACTCATGTCTGTTAACGGCATCTTCTTTCAAAGTGACAGTGAGGACTGAGTACTTTCTGAGATTAGGATCTCGAAAGAGGACGGAAGGGGCAGTGTGATCTCGTCCGTCCTGGCAGCCAGAGGCCGAACCCTGTTTGGACCGTTTGGAGAAGCAGAATTCTGACCCAGGGCCTGGCACATGCGTGAGACTCTAGCGTGAGGTTCAGCGTCGCTGTGTGCGGAGCACACGGTGAGCCGGGCGCCACCGTCACGATGCCCGAGCCTCCCGTTTCGGGAGACGCGCGGCCCCCGCGGCTGCCCGGGCCGTGCCAGAGCCCGCAGCGTCGCGTACGGTGAACGTTTAGGACGGGCGGTCCGGCTCACTGCGTGATACGACTGCGTTTTAAGGGTGGAACGAACCGAACTGTCCCGCGCGGCAGTCAGCGCCCTGCACCTTCTCTCTACAGTGAGAATAAGCTGCGATTCTCGCGGGGCCCAGCGTCGCCAGCCGGGACGTTTTCTGCACTCAAGGTTTTAGTCCTTAGCCGGACGGGAATAACCTGGGCTGAGGTAATCACGTTTCTTCGCTTTATTACTCAAAAATAAGCAATTTTAAATTCTTGGTTTAATAGGGAACCGAAGCACGGCTGCGGCCTCATTTTGATCATCGTTTTATCTTATTATCCAAATAACGCGATTCTTTACAGTGCCCTCGGGAGGGGGGCGCGGGCCCACGGCTGACGCAGACTTTCTCCGGGGCCCCTCGGCGCTCCACGCGGCTGCCCATGGGGCCTTCGGCAAATGCCTTTTCCCACGAGTTCTTGGGGCAGAGGACAGCAGCAGGAAGGTGCACATCCTTATCCTGTTTGACATTCGGCTTCTAGAATCTCTGTTCCTGTGTGCAGCTGGGGGGACACGTGGCTCCTGGGCCCGGCAGCGCTGGGAGCGTCTGTCTGGTACCGCTGTTTTCTGTCGGGTTAACCGACTTCACACACGCAGGATATCCGCGTTCAAACACACGCAGAGAAGGGCACCCCCACCGAGCTGTTCACCTGTGAGGTGGTGTTGCCACAGGTGAACTGTGCCCTGCACGTGGCCACAGAAGTTAAGTTCCCTTAGCTCCTTTCCGAGGGCTCCTTCCTGTCTGGGGTCAGATTTAGCATCAGAACAGGAAGGACACATAGACATGCCGGTGGCGGAGATGGCAGCAGAGGTGAGATGAGAAAGTTTGGGAATGGCTACTGAGAAATTTTGGCTGCTGAGTGTCTTCTTTCCAAACCCAGACCGAGAATCGAGGAGCCGTGTTTAACAGCCCCTTCCCTTGCTAGCGCATCATGTCAGATGACAAGGACGTGCTGTGTCAGCCTCGCCGGGCCACTGTGCAGGGGCCTCGGTCACTTCCGGGTCCACCTGCATGCCGCGTGGGGTCACCGCTGAAAGTCACACCCCAGGTCATTACAGTGCGGGCTGCAGTGTCAGCCTCCGGCCCCCCAGTGCTCCGGGCCTGAAACGGTCTGTGGGGAAAAGTCCGGAAGCTGCTTTGCTTCTAAACAGTGACAGAGCAGAACGCACGTGGCGGTCCCGGCAGCACACGCGGGGTGACAGCGGCACAGGCCGCGCCCTGACCCGCGCCTCCCCCCAGGTGCTCCGCTGTGCCACCGGCTGGCCGGTCCTCGAGGAGCTGTACCTCGCGGCGAACAACATCACCATTTTGGAAAGGTAACGAGGGTTTGTATCAGTCACCTGTCACCATGTGGTCACTCTGAATAGTCTCAATCACAGCTGTTAACTTTTAGAAGGATTTGCAAATAAGAATTAGGAAAATGTTTATTCGTCGCCTTCACAAAGCAGAGTGTCAACGAGAACTTCACCTATCGAGGGAACACCGTGAGGGTGGAAGCCCTGCGGTCAGTGTTTCTGAAAACATGACGTTTACTAGTTTTACACAGAGGTTTAACTTCTGTGTCTGAATGGAAATTCCGTAGTATTTGCTCTAAGGACTCAATAACGTACTTGTAGTTAGCACTGTCTGTTTAGGTCGATGCACCAAAGTAAAAAAGCATCTTAAGTAATTAAGTATGTTGTTCTCATCTTCCTCTTTTATTGATACCATTAAATTACTGTATAAAATAAATGTGGGCAGATTTTCAACAAACCCTCAAAGGATTCAAGCTGAGATTTTACTGTACAGAATAATTTTCGTTTATTATGCAGGCAAAGGCAGGGGTTTAAAAATTAAACTTTATTCTGAGACCGTTTTAGATTCACACGTAATCACACCTGTCACCCAGTATACCCCAGCGGTAACATCCTGCAGAGCCATGGTCCGGTGTCACCCGTGATACTGATCCGCCCCGCAGACAGTTTCCATCACAAGGGTCCCTGGCCTTGCCCTTTCAAAGTCACGTCCACTCGCCGCCCTCCACCAACCTCTCCTTAACATCAATTGCAGGGCTTTAAGGCTGTATCTTTGAAAACGAGATTAAATTCACGTTGAAAATTTTTTATTTTCCTTGCAGGCCAAATGACGTTCTACAGACGGTCAAGTTATTAGACCTTTCCTCTAACCAGTCAATTGATGAAAATCAGCTGTTTCTAATAGCGTATCTACCCAGGTAATTTGCTCCTAAAATGCCTAGTACGGGTGCCGAGTAAATTTGCAGCGCGTGGGTCATGTGCCGTGTGCGCTTTCTCAGTGGAAATACAGGGACGAAGATGGAATTCTCGGCTCGGGCCACTCCCTGTGGGGAATTTTTATTCTAATTCATGTAGAGTTTACTTGTGAACCACGTACAGTGCAGCTGCGTCTGCACTAGGTGACTGCACTGTGGATGGTATGGCCTTGGGCTGATGTCCAAGTCTTCATTCATTAAGCTTTGCAAAGTGGGACCGTGTCTCTTTCCTCTTCGAGACCCACTTAGCACCCGGTGCGGCCGTAGGCACCCGGGACTGTTAGGTGACGGTGGAATCATGGGACCCCTCTGCATGCCCGAAACTGGGCTTCGTGGCTTCTAAGCCTTTTACCTGGGGTGAAAGCCCGGGGTGTAGGAAGAAGTCAGATCGCGTCTGGCCGACAGTCTGCAGCATTCCGTACTGTTCTGTGAAGTCAAACTGATGTTTGTGATTTCAGGTTAGAACAGCTAATCCTCAGTGACGTGGGGATTTCTTCTCTCCACTTTCCAGACACTGGAATTGGTGTGTATGACACTGCATCCCTCTCCCGCCCCCCTACTCAGCCGTTCCTTTCCCTTCTACTACATAACTTAATCCTTCTCTTCCTAGGGTGCAAATCGTCAATGTTTACTTCCTTGCAATACCTCGTGGTCAACGACAACCAGATATCGCGGGTAAGGCTCCTTCAGGAGGCGCGTCCTGCGCTGTCCCCAAGTTCCACGGTCATGGCAGAGCCTGTACGTTCCTTCTATTAGAAATGTTTTAAATTGAGAGAGAAATGCTTCCTCAGAGTGGAACTCCTCATATAAACCTCCCAAAACGTTCAGAAGTTAGTTGAACTCACACTTAAGCAGACTTAGACTAAAGGTGCTCTTCCTGGTGGCTGCTCGGTGCCTGATGAGCGCCCGTGCCTTGGACCGGAACGAGCCACTTCGCTTTTCAGTTGCTAGTTAAAAGTAGCCTGAAAAGTTCGCCCGACACCTGTGCCCGGTCACCGATCTCCCCCCGTTGGGTTTCAGTGGTCGTTCATCAACGAGCTGGATAAGCTGGAGAGTCTGCAGGCGCTGTCCTGCCTCAGGAACCCCCTGACCGCGGGGAGCAGGGCCGAGACCACGCGGCAGTTCATCATCGCCAAAATCGGGCAGCTGGAGATGCTCAACAAGTGCCAGGTGAGCGCTGGCCCCTGGCCTGGGTGCTTCCCAGACTGGAAAACAAACTGTCAGCGGAAGCAGCGTATCCGAGTCCTGTGAAGGGGCAGGTGTAGTTTTCTTCCAGATGATAGAACAGCGCATGTGTCTTAGTAACGGGCTTTGTCCCGGCCCCTCAGGAGGCGCGTGGCGCTTGGTTCGCAGAGAAACCTGCGTTTCGCTGGCCAGTGTGCCGTCACGCAGGTCCTACCCCATTTCCTGGGGGGCACAGGCAGAAAGATAGGACCAGGGCTCGGCGAGGCCGCTCGTCCCCAGCGCCTTGCCAGCGCTTCGGGGCTGCTGGTGGGAGGAGGTGGTCCCTCGGCTGGCCTCCCGTGGGTGGCCACAGGCACCTGGCGGGGTCTGGAAACAGCTCGTGGGCAGATGCGGTCACGAAGAGAAGTGTCAAACTGAAACGTCTTTTTCAATAAACTCCTGAATTGTGTCGGCGCTGAGAAGGACACGTGCGCCCGGCCTTGTCTGTTCCGCACCGACAGATCCTTCCCGAGGAGAGGCGAGGGGCCGAGCTGGATTACCGCAAGGCCTTCGGGCCCGAGTGGCGGAAGGCGGGTGGGCACCAGGACCCAGACCGGAACCGGCCCAGTGGAGAATTCCGCGCCGCGCACCCCAGATACCAGTTGCTCTGCCTCAGTACGTAGGTCCCGTGCCCGCGGCCCGCGCGCCTCTTTTCGTTGCTGGGGTGTCAGGAGGGCCTCGGGGTGTCGCTGCTCTCCCCAGGGCTTTTTCACAGGCACTTTCCTGGGGCTGCTTGCAAGTGGGGAGCAGAGAGTTAACCGGTTGTCCAGAGAGAGGAAGAATCAGCATCTCCGGGAGTGTGGGGAGGGGGGCGCCCCCGTCTCTGGCGACCCGGACGTGACCTCTGGGGTTTTAAAAATTAAGAGCAAGTGAAGGTGGCAGCCGGGCACTGGGGTTTCCCCAGCTCCCCGGGTAATGCTAACGTCGCGCAGGCTGGAGGTGCGTGATGTTCGCGCAGGGGGCTCCCCACATGCCAGCCGAGCCCTCAGGCGTGGAGGCTGCGACTTCCTTAATATAAAATTTCCTAACGTGAGCAGCTCACTGCACAACCGCTTCAGCTGGAGGGCCATTTTTGAGGGGGAAAGGCTTCCTGTGGGAGTTGCTTTCAGATTCCTCCCCCGCAGCCCAATTCCCTGGCCACTGGAGGTGAGTTCCCAGTCACTTGTGGGGCAGGGGGTAAGCAGAGAGGCCCTGGCGGTGTGGCGCGGGCCTCCACCACCAAGGATGCCAGGAGGCAGGCACAGTCGGGGTGCTCACAAATCCTGTCCCCCGCTGGCGTCACACACAGCTTCCCGGACACCTGCCTCGTGAGGCTGTGTCCAGCTGGGCCTGGTCTGCGGCGCTGCCAGACGTGGCTGAAATGGGCCGAGGTGCCCGGGAGTTGTGTCCCAATTAGGGCCGGGTTTCTCGGGACTCGGCAAGAAAGGGAAACGTTAGCAAAGCTGAGGCTGGGGCTGAAGAGTTCAAGTGTTTGAAAGCACAGCCTCGTCTGCCAGTCTGAGTCAGGACCCTGAGGACCAGAGATGTGATACACAGTAGGGGGCCGAAGTGACCGCCATCCATCCCTCCTGAAAAGAAAAGCAAGTCACTGAGTAAGAGGAAGCAGATCCCAGGCTCACGTCCGGCCGCTGCGAGGCTGACCCTGTGGTGACACCAGTGCTCCACTGTTCCTGCGTGGTCTTGGCTTATCGTTCATGCTTTATTTCTTCTTACACAGAATACGGCGCACCGGAAGACGGGGAACTCAAGACACAACAGCCCTTTCTGCTCAAAAACCAGCTACTAAGTAAGAACCCCGGATTCAGTGACAGCTGATTTGTGATTCAGTGCGTAGGTGCAGAAACAGTGATGACCAAATAGGAATTCTTTCTCTTAAGTACCTAAATGAGTACTTCGATTAAAAAATATATATTCTCAAATATTCTCATATTGAACATTTGAGCCATTCCCATGCTTTAAATGCATTTAATAGTGTCATAAATGTGAGATTTATCTTAGCAGTGAATAGAATGTGATTTGGAAATCTGTCATTTTTGTTACACTTGAAAACCTAGCTAACATTGTCAGGAAAGAAGTACTTAAGGGAAGGCGGCAGAATGTTGGTCCAGCTATTGTCATAATTCAGTGAAGTTTTTTTCCCCCTGTGAAGTATCGTTAGAAGGAATTGTAAACGTCAATAAGATCTATTCCTTTATTAGGCTCTGAGCCAAGTTGGACTAAGCAGCTGTGTCCCTTGGCAGTCCTGATAAACGTTCATGTGTCACTGAAATCCTACTACGCTAGGTCTCAATTTGTCTTTTTTCTTTTTTCCTTCAAGCACTTAAGATAAAATGTCCTCATCAGCTTGATCAGAAAGTCATAGAGAAGCAACTGCCAGGTAAGAAGAATGCGTCTCTCTCCTGTCTTCATACCTTGAGTCGCTGGCCCAGGTCTTTGTTGGCAGGAAGTGAAACAGTTCCCTCCTGCCTGACAGTGTGTGTGGCCTTTCTAGCGCTCGTAGGTTCTCACTAGTCTTTTATATTCTAAAACACAGTCAGTCGCGCTCCTGTCATTCCCCCTGAAAGCTCAAGTCTTGCATAACTTCCCCAGCTTAGCCAGACGACATCCTTAGCCGGAGGCACGAGCGCCAATGGCCGAGCCTTCCAGCGGTGTTTCCCACGCCCGCTGCTGTGGAGAACCTGTCCTGTCGTATCCCTCACAGAACAGGAAACATGGCCTACGGACCTGAGAGTAATTATTTGGACATGTGTGACTTTTCGCATGTTCTGCTGCTCACCGGTCAGGGGGCCTGGCAGCAACAGCTCTGAGGCTGACTTGGATACACTTGAGAACTTTAGACATTTGTGCCACTGCAACTGAACTAGTTTGATTTGGAAAATACTTTTGTGTCACAAATTAGGTCAATGTAACTTACCTTAAACTTCCACTCAAAAGAAAAATTACTAAGTAGGCTGCTGTGAATTCTTGAGATTAAACTTGTTCACAGTTAAATACTAAAATATAAACAGGTTAAATTTAGAGCAGTGAGGATTTAGAGAAATAAAATGAGTATCACCCTAAATGACTCGCAAAATACTTTTCAGCACAGTAAACGCACTGATTTTTAGTTTTTATCAACTAAAACAAGCCTATCCTGGCATTGCTTGTGGAAGCTTGCTCATGGATCACCATCAGTTAGCGTCAGCTCACCTGTATTACACCATAGTACCGGTGGTTCACTTTCTATTCCTGTGATTTATGATTTTGCTGTTACATAAAGCCGAATTAAAATTCGTGGGGCCCCTTCTGTTGTTTTCAGACTTAAGCCCTGTCAGTAAAGGTGCTCGTGGAGACGGACAGTGGAGAGGACCAGGCCTCGTTAGTGAAACAGGCTCTGGGTGTCTCTGCATTTCCCCTTTTACAGTCCAGACACATGAAAGCGGTTTGTGGAAACTGCCCGAGAATGTTCTCAGGTCTGTGCCGCGGTCTCCTTTGTCAGAGCTTCCCTCGGCCGGACTCCGGCGGGATGCGTGCGTGCACGTGGTCCTGGGCTGACGGTGACAGTGTGTGCCTCACCCTCTCGTCCCCCTGCTGTCTGTCTTGACCATCCCAGTTCTTCTGCGCGTCAGTCACCTGCTAGAACAGCCCGTTCATGCTCTGACTCGTAATCTTCAGGTGGCTCTGTAGACGTGCTACGTAATTACCGCGTTAAGCTCTTCAGGGTTCTGTGATCTGTCAGCAGTCAGCCAGCGGAGTCAAAGCTCTAATTTTTATGCCACATGTGCTATCTAGGCACTAACAACTGTCCATCAAAGAGAGAAGTGATAAAATACTGAGACACTTTTCCGCTGGTCAGGTTAGCAAAAATTAAACATGCAGAGCATCAAAAATCAGTGTAAACTTTTTGTAGTCATAAAAAATTAAAATATGTATATGCAGTGACCAAGCATTCCACCTTGTGGCACTTGTAACGGTAAAAATAAGTCAATGTTTTCATGGGGAAATGGCTGACTGTCCTGATGGGACCACGTGTCACAGTGTCATGAATCATGGAAGAGGATGAAGTGGCTCTAGAGCTGTGAGGTCTAGTGTGGCTGCCACCAGTCACACGTGCAGTTTAAATGCACTACAGTGAAATAAAACCAAGTCCAGGCCCTTAGCCATACTCACATTTCCGGTGCCCAGCAGCCACCTGCAGCTGCTGTGGTGGACAGTGCAGGTCTACGTGAGATGTGTCGCTAATAAGTTGTACACCAGCATATATACGAAACCTGTACGTCCTTAAATAAACAAAAAAGCTTGGAGAAGTCTACCCGTCAAACGTACCGCTGGTCATAGGGAGGCAAAAAGATAAATTACCTACCTCTATTTTCTGAATGTTAAGATAATCACGTTACTTTGTATTAAAGATAGTAATAGTTTATGCCGTTTACCACTTCTACAGACACATTTCTTATTAGAGCTGTTTGATGAGCAAACTTTGTTTCCGGCACGGCTTAGGAACGTGTCATTTCCCACTGCCGTGCAGGAGCTGACTCGGCACTGAGAGCCAGTCCCCCTCAGTCTTCTGAAGGGACAGGAGTATCACATCCACACATAAGAGCGAATCGTGCTAATGAAAATTACACGCCTGCATTCGAGACATAAACTTAAGAAGTCCATTTTTATTCTAAAATAAAGAACATTTATTATTACAAGTTGCATAAAAACAGCTTTTCCAAAATGATTTTCGATAGAAAAATACGTTTGAATACATGTGGTATTTATAGGAACGCCACACTATTGCTGCACCTCCAGCTAAAGCTTCAAAGGAACTATTTCTCAATCAAAATAGCCAACATTACCACAGACCCATCTTTGGAAAAAAAAGTTCATAGTGTTTTCTGAACAAACCATAAAGTCACATTCCCATGCCTGGTGGCCAGTGTGTCGAGCACAGGTCAGCACAGCCGGGCTGGCCGCCTGGAGGGGACACGGCGACCCAGCTTCCCTCACTTCACAGAGGGTGAGCGCCCGCTCCGGCAGTCTTTCCGTCACGCCATCACAGATTTTAAAACTTTGAAAAGTTAATGGTTTCTGGTTTATTCGGAGGAAGTGGTGTGTGAACGCCCTGTCAGAGGACGCCTGGGTCAGGCACTGGCCCGGTCCCCAAGTGACTGTCGGTGCAGTACGTGATCGGTGCACCTTTCCCTAATCGTTTACTTGGGTCAAGTGAGACTGTGAAATGCATTTCACCTGTCATTGCAATTGTCACGTGAGCCAGTAACACAGGTAACTGTCATATCAGAGAATGGACGGTTTTTCTTTTTTCTGTGACAGACTCCATGACAGTTCAGAAAGTGAAAGGAATGCTGTCGCGTCTCCTCAGAGTTCCTGCGTCAGACCTTCTGTTGTCCTATGAAAGTCCCAAAGTAAGTTGCCCGGCAAACACAGTCACACTTCGTCCCCCACAGGATGACATGCTGTCAAACTGAGTCTATAACACTCATTCCGCACGGAGACCCGACCCCTCTGTCTGGGGGCGCCATACATTACGCTCCGTCAGATCTGTCTTAATGAGCCCCCTTTTCTACTTTCAGATGCCGGGCAGAGAGATCGAACTAGAAAGTGACCAACAGTCGTTACAGTTTTACTCTGTGGAAAATGGAGACTGTCTGTTAGTGCGATGGTAACAGCTAACTGAACCCGAGGCCACTAGGCTGCTTGTTGTGACTGGGGTTCGCCGGAAGTAAAGGATTTATTGGGACACGTTTTATAACGTGCCCTGAGGATAAAAAAGGTGGTACTTTTCATTTGGGAAGAGACCGTTTCTCACCTCGTGTATAATAGCAATAAAGGCTTTGCACCTACTAATGATTTTGGTTTTATTTCATATTTTATAGGTCATGACTGCATTTCATTACGTGGAGATTTCAATGTCAAATAGCACCTAGCTAAATCTCACAAAATCTGAGCACAGTTAATGTCTGTCACAAGGCCACTTTTAATGGAATTCTCTTGCTACTACCAGTTTAAAAAGTTACTAAAATGATTAGGTCGGTCATTTGGGAATGTCCCTTAAACGTAGGGAGGCACAGCCCCTACGCTGCATGACATACATGCTACGATCTCTCAACTGCAGGGCTTTTCCTCCACGGTCACACCTACACTGAGCATAGCGTCTATAAAAGATCAGGTGACCATCAGGCAATGACAGGACGAAAGCAAAATTCTTTTAAAGTGGCAACTACTTAAAATCCTGAGAGGTATACTTGATTTAACTTATGTTAAAAAAAAAAAAAAATGCTCGACTGACCTTCAGGATTTATGTGATGTGGCAAAAGAAAACTTGCATTAGGGCACTTAATACAAACTTCAAGACCGAGGCCCAGAACTGAGAACTACCTGGCTTCAGCTGCCCACTTCATCCAGACGTCCACAGAAATCTGACATTATTCCCAGAAATCACACACTTTGGTATGAGTGACCACTGCCCACAGATCCTCACGCAGCATTTCCGTGAGTCGTTTTTGGCCCATATTAATGATAATTACGCTATACGCAGCTATTCTGCAATCCAGCCGAAATTCCAACTCTCAGCTACTAACGATGTCTGAACAAGCCAAGTTTTACAAAAAATGACAGGTAATGAATTACTAACTAGAAATGATATATCTGGATTTACAAATATTCTTTTATAAACTATTTGGCATTTTTCAAATCATCTTCCAATATATAAATAGAGTTTGTCTTATGCTACAGTATCAGTTGATTTTTAAAAAGGAAAAACTTGTGCAAACATTAAGAGATACCACACTGGTTACAGAAGCGCCAGCCTAGACTCTCCGGAAGGACCACAGAATCGCTGCCAAACCTCGGCTGTCCTCACACGTCCACGGACTGTCGTTCGCCTACCCTGAGCTTTACACGCGGCGACTTAAACCGTCATCGGGCTGCACACTGGCACGGGTCACCGCACAGCTCCTTCAGGTCCCAGAGTGCCGTGAGCTCCCGTGCGGAGTACTGCGGAGAAGACAGCATCCCCGACGCGCACGTCTTCTCGCACAGCCACAGGCCGTCCTGGGGAGAGAGCAGGGCTGACGGGCGGGCCGTGGAGCCGCCTGAAGGGAAGCTGCGCGCTGTCGGCGTGTGCTCCGTGTGCTCCGTGTGCACCGTGTGCCCCCGCTCGCAGTGTGTGGGGCAGCAGTGCGCCGTGCGCGCGGGGTCAGCAGACGGAGCGCTACGAAGACGCGGTCTGGAAACCGCGGTGTGAGCTCCCCATCTGCTGCTGGAGAAGAGGGGGCCGCGCCGCGCTCTGAGGGCTGGGCCGAGTGCTCTGTGAATGGCCCGCGAGGCAGGCGTCACGTCATTCCCCTTACACGCGAGAAACTGGAACTAAGTGAAGTGCCCTGCCCAAGGACACAGGGCCGTGAACCCAGGTGAGCTGATGCCCAGTGGGACGGATTCCGACGGGGCCTGTCACGCTCCCGGGCGCCTCCCTCCCCGCCACACGGACTCGCTTCTGTTCCCCGCAACAGAGCAGGGTACAGACCCGGGGACCTATCGACCAACCAGAGAACACGAAATGCTGGACGCGACCCCAAACATCGGGAACGCGCGGCGGAACCGGCTGGGAAGGAAACGCCGGAGAGCAGACCGTGCTGCAGTTAGGGGCGCCCGGGGGGCCTCGCCACGGCCGGGGGACCCAGGCGCCGGCGCCTGCGGCATACTGCGCACACAGAACCGCGGGGAGGAGGCTTGTCGGCCTCAGCCCTGACCCTGGGCGGGGTGGAAAGGGGTCTCCCCTGAGCACCTGGAACCCCAGCCCACACTTAGGTGATTTGGCCGCTCTCATGTTCTGCGGAGCCCTCCAGGCCAGAAACACGTGCTCGCAGATGGAAACGCCCTGCAGGGCACGCGGATAAGACGCAAGTCCTCCCTGTAGGAGCGTTTTGCATACAGACCCCAGTGTCCAAGGGACACGGGCACAACAAAAACGTCTTTCAACACATCAGGAAAGACGCTCCGTACGTAACAGTCTGCAGAAGCCTCACACCACAGAGGCAGCTGCAGAGGCCCGATGCCAGAATGGTCAGATGCGGACTATGTTCAACGTGGACTAAATCAGACGGGACTGAACGTACAACAAAGAAACAGAACTAGCGACGCTGACCAACTGGACTGGGTTTCCGTCTGTGCCCCCGAAGTCGTGGGGCACTGCTCTGGGCCCCACGCTCCTTCTGTCCCCTGCACCTTCTATGGCCAAAGTGGAAGCGGAAAGAATCCAAAATTCAACACGGATCTTTGAGGCTTTCTTCCCAGGGCTCTCGTTCCCATTTCTGGGAGAGGCAGAGTCACTTATTTTTCTAGCTCGGTGACTGGCATATTTTAAGACATCTCACCGTGTTTTATATAATATTTTGTTTGCCTCAGTCAGAAGGGCTGAAGGGTGCCTGGACCACCACATTGCTGGAAACTTACGTCAGCTGGTTCTTTGAGACTTAAAGCTGCAAAGGAGTTCCGACCAAATATTAAAAATCCTAATTCGTTGGGGGCGGGAGAACTTCCATTCAAAATGTTTCCTGTGGTCTAAACTCAGAAAAATATTGTACGAGAGAGTCTGAATTAAATCAAGCGCAGCTGCGATGCTAAGTCTTCACTGTTCCCACCTGGGGTCCGACACGGAAACCTCGGCTCAGCTCCCCGGAACCGAGGCCAGCCCCACGGCTCTTGCTTACCTGATATCTCCTAGGTCCTATGGCTGCCATCCAAATGCCCATGCTTACATCTTCACCCTGTACGCACGAGGTTTAAATGCAACAGTTTAGCTGCTACGCCGCCTGTAAAGACAGTGCCACACCCATTCCCTTAATAAATTATCTTCCTTCCCCTTTGTTTGTAAATCTACTATGAAATCTAAACGTGTGTTAACACGGACACACAGTAAAAGCTGGTGGCTTTTAATTTGATGACCACACCCTACAGGTGACCAGCATACTCCTCGTGGACTGTGGCCTCCAGTTCCAACAGCAGGAAACACATACATGGACCTAATAACTAGGCAGAACTGCTGGCTGACACAGCCCAGAATCAGCAGAAAGCAAGCACTTTTCGTCTTCTGAATATAAATCTTTACGCCCCCTCCAGGGGCTGGTAAATATAGGTCGAAAATATAGTAAGTAGGCTCAAAAACAGGGTTAGAAGTAGAATTTAGAGCCAACTTGAGGGTCAGGAGCATATCCCTAATGTCTGAAGAGTGATTCCCGGACAGAAAGTAACACGCTCT